GAGAGAGACTGTGACCTGTCATTAGTTCATCATTTTCTGTCCATATCCAGTATCAGAAAATAGAATGAATAGTAATTAATTTTCTTTAGGGTACAAACTAGTTTTTGCAAACATAAGTTGTGGCTGGCATGTGATTTACATTTGCCTGCATTTGGCCTTGAGGTAGAAGATTTTTCTGTTCAATATGTCACGCTTTGTTTCCTTGTCCGGTCTTGGTATGTGTGAGGAAGCTACGACCGCTGGCTCGCTGACCTTTTTCTAGAAATCTTGCAAACCCTTTAAGCTTCAGAGTTTTTGGTTAGAAAGAAGAAATGACAACTCTTACACATGATTAAAGCCAGTTATATCACTTTAATGACTAAAATGATTATAGATTTTTGAACCTATGGTAGAAAAATACATAAATATTTTTAATCTGTGGAACTTCTTATGCTTTTCCTTATTTTTTCTTATATTTATACTGGAACAGTGTCAGACTAAATCTGACAGACAAAATCTTCAGGCTTCAGATTGATCTAAACGCTTCAGACACTATTGGTTACTATTGGTCTGTACTGTGTCTTGGAGACACACATAATATGGTCGGTTCGGACACAAAGCTTGGGTTGTAAGCACAGCGGCCCGACCCACCTGCTGTTCTGTTTGAGAAGGACAGCCAATCAGCATTAAGTCTTAATGGGATAGAAGCTTCAGACACAGAATCCCCATATTATAAATTCATGATAATAATTCATGTCAGTAACACGTTATGCTACTTTGTTTCACTGGTTGTTTAGTCTAATATAAAAGCAACTCTGTTTCCATATAAGGAAAATAAAAATTCTAGGTAAACAAAGCACTCTTTAGCCCCTACAATAGTAAATGTTAATGTTGTCTATAGGCAATGCTTATCTTGTATATACGGGAATGTGATTTAATCACTAACGTGATCTCTTTTGCATTTTTCTAATGTAACATAATATTCACTCGGTTCAATTTATCCTAATTATTTTACGTAAGAAATTGGCAAAAGGGTCACTGAATGAGTCACAGTATGAGACGTGCAAAACATACAAAAACACATTAAATATACCCCTGATGTATCAGTACAATAGAAAATTAACTCTAACCCTACGGTATGTTTTGGAGAATAACAATATGTACAAATAACAATATGACTGGAAATAAAAGAAAAAAAAAGTCTCTAATGTGTGTGCGTGGGATGTATTTGCATCACATTTATTTCAGTTATTTCTTTGTTCTTTCCATATACAGTGCTTGACAATTTTTTTAGCCCACCACCCAGTCTAAGTGACAGTACTGGTTATAACCCAAAGGATTTTAATGCTTCTGTAATGGTTAATCCTGCATATTTCTAATACTAAAAAACAAAAGACTGAAAAACACAGTGAAGCACATCATTTAATTTTGATTAAAATCCTAAATTACAGTTATTTACTTGCATTCCTGAACAAAAACATTAGTTTGACTGTTATGCTTGAATAATTGATGGCATCTCAGAGAAGTGGGCCGGCTCAAATTTGGGTATATAAAATGACTCACTTTGGTATTTGCCTAATAAATAACAATATAATTGTTAGTTTTAAAGAGTTCTACAATATTTCTGGAGATACAGATTTCTTTTTCCGCAAACAGAAGGACAGAGATAAACCTGACACAGATTTGCTGAACTCAGTGCATGAACATTCAAGTGTTTGAGACACAAATGGAAAAGGATACACAGACAGGCAAATATGAAGTCAAAAAATAAAAGGTGAGAGTGGAAGTAAAGTGGCCAAAGGGTCTTTCTTTTTGTTCCGTTTATTACACACCGCCTTTTTCTTGATTTTGGCAGCCTTCTGTACCCTCTGGCAGGCAGGCAGGCAGGCAGGTAGGCAGGCAGGCAGGCAGGCGTTGGGACGGGACGGGACAAGGTCAGCAGATACAGGAGCACAAAAAACAGGAGGAAGAGGAGGAGGAAATAAAGAAGGTAAATAAAAGAAGGTAAGACAGTAAAGCCCCAAACCAAAAGGCAGGTGTGCTGTCGCTGCTCTCACAAACAGGAAGAGTGACAGAAAGAAAGAGAGCGAGAGAGGAGGAGTGTGTTTGTTGAGAAAGCGTTTCGCACAGCCATATTGGTTATCACAACAGCAATTACAGATGGTAATAATTGCTTCTTTAAAAAAACAAACAAAAAGCATGTAGACATGGACTGACACTGTTCCTGCATTCTTCACAAAGCTTTTTAAGCATTTAATCAACACACAGACAAACTCTGTCATTCAGATCAAACGCACGGGCGCTGCTCTTACCGACTTTCACGTTTACGACACAGTCTAAATGCTGCTAGCAGAAAAGACATGCTGGAAAAAACAATCAACAACACACACAGAGAACGGGGGCGATAAACCCTGTGCAAGGATTTCAACTCTCTGCTTCGGGTTTGTTTGGTTTTTGGGTTCTTTTTTTTTTCAAGGTCAAGTCACTGTGTTTGGAATTAAAGAGCTTAGCTAATATGGAGACAGTTTTACTGAGCTAATGGGTGTGATTAGTTCATCAGTAACACTGTTCATGTAGTGGGCTCTAACAGTTGACCTTAGATAACTAATCTTTAGGAGGA